AAATGAGATGACAGTACTTTAAACCTGCTTATTTGTTCCAAAGTCAATAATGAGTAGGTCAAGTTTATTATGGTTATAATGAATATATTACATGCGTTATTATGTAATAGTATTTTTGCTGCGACAGACAAACGCGCCAAATTAAATTGTTATATAGCTACGTGGTGTTATTTTAGGTAGAAGCAAAGATAAATATGTGTGTCTCTGTTCTTATGCTTACGATATACAATAAGCCTGAGCTCTTGTAATTTTCCGAAAGGATTATCCTAACGTAATGAATGCAAAGTGGGGGAGTAACCTTAAGATAAACTGGTGGAGTAGAATGATGAATGTGTTAATTACACTTATAAAGGAGCATTCACTTCGTCTGATGGCATTTGGCTATTGCACATAATAAAAACTTGCATCAAATTGTAGGTAAAGGCATAGTAAACTGCACTGATGTTTTCTGACAGTAATTTACTTCTAGAAAGAAACTGGAATAAAAAGGAAACTAGAAATGGAATGTAAAGAAACCTAATCGGGAATACACCTGTATTTTATATTCGTAGATCGTAAGTGAATAATGTTATGAAAGTAAACGGTTAGATACGTCATTGATGATAACGGTTTTTAACCTCCTTACTTATACTTTACATACGTTCATCTAGACAAGAAAAACACTACAAAATAAGTACAAGGGTAATTGTTTTGTATAATTGCACGTGGAACATGGAATAGATAATGTTGGTCTACTATGTACATGTAAGATCAACGGTGCGTTAATAACAATTATTATAAGTGCAGAAAATTATGCATGTGCAATATAGAAATATCTCGTATAGAAAAATCTAGATTTTCTACTGAGTCGTTAAGAAAATTGCAATAATATTATGTAACTATAATATTATGTACTTTCGATGTAGTGGCCGGAATTTATATTATTATTATTAATTTATATTATTTATATATATATAATTTTATTGGCACATATCAATAATGAAATTGTATTAAACTTATGAAACTAATATTTTCATTATTTTTTAATATATAATTAGGTAGGTGGTATTAGAATATCCACTACCCCATATTGTCCCGTGCGTGACGCAAGAGGTGACAGAGGGGAACTAGAAGATGGACAGCAGAATTTTTATAATAAAAAAAAATTACGGTTGCAAGCCTGATAGCTATAGCAAATATCCCACTCATAAGCCAAACTAGATGGGGAAGCCTAGGTCCAGCGGTTTGATAGGCTGTAATGCATAATTAATGAATATTAGGTGATAGATACGTAAGAATATTCATGACCCTCTCGTTGCGGGGTTGTTATTAAAGTTGATTGAGAGAATTGTCAAGCAATCTTAGTACGATCTACGACTGAAGATCTATAAGTAATGAACAAACTTAAAGCAGCGTCAAGTTGAACGCTGACATCACCTCTTAATCGTGTTTAATAATTGTGGCAGTAAAAACAATAAAATATTTGAAAAGCAAGAACTTTGTTTTGTATAAATAGGTATTAAGTATTTATTGTACTTGTATGAAGTACATATATAAAGTGACAAACAGACCTCTAAAGATTTCCAGGAAACAATAAATGTTAATACCTCTGACTTTGAAACATTATTAAGGTGAGAGATGTACTTTAAGACAACATAAATAAATATCGGAGAAACTGAAACATAAACATGTTCCATAAAAAATAATATTAGAGTTCACCTTGTGCGAAGCTATAAGGCAAAAAATCATTGTACTGTTCAAGGCAAAAAACTATATGAAAGTGAGATTAAGTTTGTCATTTAATTTTAGCATATCGTTTCGACGGTCATAAGGAGTCTCACGAGTTAGCTTTATTAAAAGGAATTTCATTCAATTCAAATTTTGTTCCAGAATATTCACATTTTAAAAAATATTATAAATCTAGTGGCAGTTTTTGTAAAGATGACTTAGATCAGAGAGTCTAAATAATATGGAATAGTATACTATTTAGATTTACTCCATAGCCATACTCAACTTCTAGATAGATGGACTGAGGAGTGAACAGTGGTTTACCTCACAAACTAGAAGTACGGTTTACGATCACCAGTCTGTGGAATTTGAATTAAGCATTTTTGAGGGTTTCTTAGCAAGTAGAAGTGGCAACGGACCGACCATTTGATTCGAAAGAAATCAATCGATGGGGAATAAAGGTTGTCGAATGAGAGTCCGGTACTAAGGAAATGTAGGACTGCCCCCCCCCCCTCACTAGATGGCGTGATGACCTGGTATAAAAAGCAGGAAGTCATGCAATATTTTTCAGTGTCATTGCACTACATTAGTACATTTCCCTCTTCATTGTCAGTCCACAGCTGGACACAGACCGTTCCAACTAGCATGCTTTTGTTGAAAGATTTGCTCTTTGCTCTTCGCTTAATTCAAAAAGTTTTGCTTAATACGAGATTACTATATTCTCTAAAAACTTCACTTAACTAAAATCTAAATCACGTAAAATTAAACAATAAAACGTTATACTTGTATATAGTGCAACGAATCAACAAATTTAAACTATCTTATCAACTGTTTGGAAATCTTCTAATGATCAGGTAGTAAGTGACTTCTGTGTACAATTCATTTCACTGTTGTTGGTTTTAAAGTTAAATATGGTCGTAGACACGAGAATTATCCAAGTTTGAGTAAGTGTAGTATTTATATATTATCCAAATCTGAAGTCGAAAACTTATGTCCAACAAAAAGTTTATACTGACAAACCGGACAAACCGGAATACACTACCCAGGTTCTCTGACCTAAGTCACCTTTACAAGATTTATAATACGTTTTTGAGACTCCAATCTGTAAATTATATAGAATTTGAAATACTGACAAATTTGGAAAGAATTGTTTAAATAATATTTTCGAGGTTTTAATGTCACCTTACATTTAACTTACAGATGGCAGAGGTGCAAATGTAAGTTGAAATTACACAAATTATTAAATGGAAAGGAATTGACTCCTGATCCACACTTGTACTCCTGAGGCCAATTTTTGTTGGTGTTATTGTAAAATTTTAATGTAAAATCTAGATTTTGTCAATAGGTATCATTAATCCAAAATATCCCTTACTTTAAAGAAGTGTAAAAGTAGTTATACCGTTTTAATTTTTCAGTATAGATACCATACCCGACAGCGCATAGCTAGATGATGACAATTTTCCGCTATTAAAACTAAACACAAAGGGAAGGGAAGTGCGACACGTGTGTAGTTATGACTGTGTGCGGTACACGTGTGATTACGGCAATTTTAACACAAATATTCCCAGTGAAGTCTATGTAATACAGACACATTTTTAATGTCGAGTACGACACGTACCACGTTCACGTTTATCTGTTAGACTCTACCATGGCATATTTATAGTAATTAACGGTGTCATATTTATTACTGTTTTCATATTAATTCATATTATACTGTAAAAATCTCCGTATAGTGACGGTGTAAGATAATCCACGAGGTACCCTATATCATCCACCGTGTGTCATAAGAGGCTAAAGCGGGGAACTGGAGCAGGAGATGGGCTGCAGCATCTTCCTCATAACCACTCGAAATAAAACTGCAATTGCCAATTCACCTGCCAAGCATGGCAACTATCCCCATATGAGGGTTGCCTAAGTTCAGAAGTGGTTTTCACGAAAAATACGCGCTTAGACGTTGAGATGCGGAAAATAGTCCGTCGTAATTATTCAACTATATTACTAACGTAAGTATTAATACCTCAATGGTCTTAAACGAACTAACTATTCATATATTATAAATTTAATTTTGAATGTTATTGTCTCCAACACTGTATTCGAACTTATCTATGTGGAGCTAGCCAAGTTGACTACAAACGTTACGCATACAAATTCTAAGCGTTAAAGCTAATAAAAAACTATAAAATAATGAATAAAATTAAAGCTAATGCATAACGTGATTTAGCGTTGAGATTTTTTTTAATAGAAGAGCATGCGGCTCACCTGATGGTAAGTGACTCTCCATGAACAACCGCAATGCCAGGGGTATTATATATATTATAATTATATATTATTAGATTTTATGCCATTTCCATTCATTGTTATAGTTTTCTATTAGCGTTGAAGCAAACCGTGCGCATACATTTGTTTTACTACAATTTATCCTGGGCCAAAATATTAAGAACCAAAACCAATTTATAATCGTAAAAATTGAAAAACCGTCGTGTAGTAACATAAGATAATCTTCTATTCCAAATCAACCCGTGGGTATCGTGTGCCTAAATAACTTCGGTTGGTAAATCGTCTACCAAGGGTGGCAATATGGCAAATATCACTCTCGTTAGGCAGTCTATAAGGGAGGCCTATAATAATAATATTATTATAATAATATTCCACAACTATCACACAACGCCATCTAGTCCCAAGCTAAGCAGAGCTTGTGTTATGGGTACTAGACAACTGATAAACATACTTATATATTTCTAAATACATAAATATTATAGATAAATTACACCCAGACACAGAACAAATGATCGTGCTCATCACATAAACATTTGTCCTGGGTGGGAATCGAACCCACGACCTCCGGCATAGTAGTCAGGGTCACTAACCACTAGACCAACAGGCCTGTCATAGGCTGTGTTCATAGGCTGTGATAAATGAATGGATGGATGAATGAATAAATGAAAAAAGGTGTATTTTTTATACGTGGTGGAGCCATGCTGCAGTTATATTATGGTTGTAGCACGAAAGGGTCGGCTCGATCGAGGAAGGACCACGCTCTCAAAGAATGCCAGCGTAAAATAGCAGCTTGTTGCTGCTGTGTTTCATATGGTGAGTGTATCGAACCGGAGAACCGTTTTAATGGAATTAAGGCATTTCATCTTAGTACTCAGGGGTGACAACGCATGTGCATTTTGATTCTTAATCGAGGTTAAATGTAGATGTCTATGGGCCGCAGCATCCACTTACCATCAAAAATTAAGTATTTATCTGTATAGATGTTTCAAGATAATAATTTAATGTTTTTGTTTCAGCGTTCCTTTTTATAAATGCTGAAGATTTTGGCTACGACGGAGTCAGAGGTAATACGTTTACATATGTTATTAGACATAAACTCTTAGTGATTCGTTCAAAGACGCTGTCAACTAAAATAACAAAAGGTAAAACAGAGAAGAGAATTTTCGAGAAGATGATTCTTGTCCATAACTGTTTAAAGTTATATACGTGGTAGAGCCATTCTGCAGTTATATTAGTAGTATAGTTGTAGCACGAATGATTCGGCTAGACCGGGGAAGGACCATGCTCTCACAGAATACCAGTGTGAAACAGTAGCTTAATGCTGCTGTGTTTCGTATGGTGAGTGTAGAGAACCGAAGACCCTTTTTACTGGAAACGAGGCATTCCATCTTAGTCCTGACGGGTGACAACGCATCTGCATTTTGATTTGTAATCGAGGGTAGATGTAGATGTCTATTGCTATATAAATGTCATATAATATCCTATAATAAAAAAAAAAGAAAAAAAAACTTGTACTGCGTTTAAAATAGGTAGCGTATTATGTAGTAACAGTGACTAAAAACTATTGTATAAATATCATTTTTACTCTTATACAATCTTCTACGAGTAACTTCGCGGATGTATGTTAATATAAAATCATATCCGACCCCTGTGCTAGCACAATTGAAATTTAATCAATGCGTCACCCATCCGTCCATTACAGCCTATAAAATAAGTAGCATATGTCGTAACAGTGACAAGGAAATATTGTATAAATATTATTTTTATTCTTATCCCCTCAACCCTCTCAAAATGCTCATGCAGTCGCATGCGACCGCTCGGGATTTGACGGACGCATGCGACTGCATCCGCACCCATCCACAACACTTTAAACCATTAAAACTTATATTTATAGATTGCTTTTTTTTTAAAGAAATTTAGCATTATAGAAGCTATACGAAATTCTCTATTCTATAGTCTAAACAAAAGTCAGTTACTCTATGAATTTTTATTTTTAATCTATCGTTTGCGCCATTTTCATATCAGGAAAATGAAAAAGGTCGGCAAATGTAGTAAATTGACAGGAGAATAAAAATAAAACACATAGAGTAACTGACTTTTGTTTAGACCACAGGATAAAGAATTTGGTACAGATTGTATAATGCCAAACTTCTTCATAGTAAAGTAGTCTTTAAAAATATGTTTTTATGGTTTATAGTGCTGTTGATAGGTGCAGTCTCATGAGACCGCTAGGGGATTGAGCGATTATACAATCTTTTACGAGTAACTTCGCGGATCTATGTTAATTTAAAAACATATCCGCCCTCTGTGATAGTACAATTGAAATTGAATGTACAATAAAAATAAAAAAATCATAGAGTAACTGACTTTTGTTTAGACTATAGAATAGATAATTTCGTATCGATTCTATAATGCTAAACTTCTTTAAAAAAAGTAGGCTATAAATATAAGTTTTATTGGTTTAAAGTGCTGTGGGTGGGTGCGGTCGCATGTAACCGCTCGGGATTTGACGGACGCATGCCATAAAAACTTATATTTATAGACTATTTTTCTACAAAGAAGTTTGGCATTACAGAATCTATATAAAATTCTCTATTCTATAGTTTAAACGAAAGTCAGTTATTCAATGGATAATAAATTATATACTTTATTGTATTTTGATAACTAGATACCAAGTGGATGTCGGTAGCGTGAAAATTACTATTATTTCTATATATTACTCAAAATTATTTACGTAAAAAGACAATTTATATCCAGACAAAAACTTTCACAGTAATTTTATAATATTAAAAACTGTTCTTAACGTAGAAAAATCCAAAAATTAAAGCAATAATGTACAACAACGAACACTCGACAATGACGCGCTTTGAATGTAGATTATAAATGAATATCTATAGACTAACTAAATTTTTATTCAACTAGAGGTTAGAAAATTCATATTGATTCTATAATGTCATACTTCTTCATAGAAAAGTAGTCTTTAAATACACGTTTTTATGGGTTATAGTGCTGTGGGTGGGTGCGGTCTCATGAGACCGCTAGGGGATTGAGCGATTATACAATCTTCTACGAGTAACTTCGTGGATGTATGTTAATTTAAAATCATATACGACCCCTGTGCTAGCACAATTGAAATTTAATCAAGGCGTCATCCATCCATCCACTACAGCCTATGAAAGTCCACTGCTGGACATTGGCCTCCTCATAGGGGGTATTTTTATATAGAAGAAGGGACAAACGATAGACCAGAATTGCCGATAAGGTGCTTGATCTTTAATCATTGTGAGGACACTTAAACAAGCACACGCTCCGTCTGATGGTAAGTGCTTGCTGTGGTCCAGACATCTGCACCTGTCCCCGATTAAGAATCGACTATGTATGTATGTAACAATCCAGAATGCCTCATTACGAGTAAAAATGAAGCCAAAGGCAAGCTTAAGTATCAAAAAAGTGAATGGTGATTGGATGCTACATTAGTCGTTTAACTATGATTGTGGTATGTGATAATTTTTTAATAACTAAATAGATAAAGCAATGGAAACTTGCTTCATAAGAATTATTATATATTTTAAATCCATGTCATTATAAATAGACCATACGTGTATTTGATTAAAGAAATACTTGCTATTAATGCGTTGCCAAACGGTCGTCAGCATGACTCGGTACCGACACATTGTTCAATTAGGACATAACGATATAAAATATAAATGTATCTACCTAGCTGTGATACGGGTTTAGTTCTGTCAACAAAAATCAGTTTTATTTCATACAGTCAAATTTTTAGGTAATCCATATCTATTCCTCGCCATCATATAAACAGTCCAATGTTAACTAAATGTAATATCCATGTTGGACAATTTTTTTTAATAGAAGAGGGGGCAAACGTGTTAAGTGACTACCGCCACCCACGATCAACCGCAACACCAGGGGAATCGCAGGTGCCTGCTGGCCCTTTAGAGGAGTTAGGAGTAAGCTCTTTTCTTGAAGGTCCCCAGGTTGTATCGGTCCGGAAAAATCGCCGGTGGTAAACTATTCCACAGAGAGGTCGTACGCGGAAGTACACTCCTTGTGAAAGGACCGCCAAGCATCCAGATGGTGTGAATGGTATCAGGACGTTTGCCGCGTAGTGCGTTCATGAAATTTGGCGGCTGGGATTAATCCGAAAAATTCCTCTGAGCAATCCCCATGCAAAAGAAAATGCAAAGAGATGCAACATCTCTTCGCAGCGCCAGTGAATCCAGCCGATCGAAAGCACTCGATCATCGACGATTCGAGCCGCTCTGTTCCTAGTCTCAGGTTTACGGAATACAGAATGTCCCAGGAAACCTGTACCAGCGAAGGTATGTGGTCTGGGGATACAAATACCTATCGATTGGACCCCCATGTATGTAAAAAAATATATGACAATGACGCATGCATACATGTATAATAAGTGTATGCATGGGTCATCATAAGTACATAACATAGGCACCCATAGATTGCCACAAAGCTTGACCCTAAATCATCGACTCCCTACATGTTTCATCAGCTCATCACTCCATCAAGAGGATTGTCGCCCAACACTGCTTACCAGTACGAGGTTGCCACTCGAGAACCTTTATATAACTTAATAAATAAATAAACTTTTACTACAAATGTCAGTTTATATGTGGTAGAGTTACGCTGAAGTTATGACCAAGATGAATTTGGCTTAACTGGGATTGGACCACGCTCGCACAAAATATATACCAGCGTGAAATCGATAATGATTCTGTTTTGTATAGTGAGTGACGCAAAGTCGAGACTTTTCTTATTGGTAAAGAGGCATTCCATTTTGGTCCTCAGGGGTGACATTTTGATTCTTAATTGAGGATAGACGTATAGAAGTGTCTATTGGCCATAGCACCCACTTAACACCAGCTAGCTTATAAGCTCGTTTGTCACCCTTACTTCTTTAGAAAATCCTCCCGATTGCCGACGAGGCTCTGGCGATTGACTGATAGTGAAAAATCCATCGAAAAACCCTGAACCTAAATTCCACATACTGGTAATGATGATAAAGGCTAGCGTATTGTACTCCGCGCTTGCCAGTTGACACAAAGACTTCTGATGCGACGTATGTCTCTAATTCTTCTGATATATCTATAATTCTTATATATCCTATCTTAAATCATTCTCAACAAAACTGTAGCATATCCATTACAATTATCTTGATTTAACCATTCATTCGCAATAAAGAGAAAGTCAACAATCTACTTTATTTAGGTCACTATAGTGTCAAAAGATAAGAACCTTAGCATCTAACAACGAGGCAATCTAACTCGCTTTTCACTTACAAATTGACATAAACGTAGGAGCAAATGATGGCTTGTGTTACTGATTGCTACTTCGTAATCTGTAGTTACATTCATCATTCCAGTACTACGGAGGAATTATTTGACTTAGTTATAGGTTTTCAACTCGTCTAAGTTTCCATTTCCCAATGATACTTAGAGCAACGCTATAGGTTGTGTACGGTGACCGTGTTTTTCTAATACGTAGTTGCCACAGGCAACAGCAATGATTTATTTTATTATAAAAGTTTTTGAGATGGATTAAACGGTTTTAAAAAAGTATTTTATGTTATTTAAAGTGATACCCAACAAATTCCAGCTCTGGTGCACTAACAACGGCCACCTGTTGAATTATAAATTTAATAACGATGATGACGATGATGAACAGTATTCATCTAGTCATCAGTGCATTGCTAACGGGTCCCGCTTTGGGGTATTACCTTGCAGTGATGAGAATATAATACGAGTATATTATTTCCTATTCTCTTTCATCTACTTCAGTAAAAATATCGTCTCACTTAGACGATTCATACTTTTGATATTGCTCTCCATGTTGGAGTGGTTTAATTATGCTGACGGAAAATGATGGTGATCTCAATGTATATCAGAAGCCGTAAGATCTTTCTGGTTTATTTTCCATAGTATCCTCTTACAACACCCATGAAACAAATGGGACAAGTAACGAATTTAATTTATTTATTTATTAAAACTTCAACGATAAGTAATGAATTTTCTTATAGCGCGACAATATCATACGTATTGTGTGTATAACTTATAAAATCTCTCTTTCGTATGGTAAATTTAAGGAAGCAGTTTATTATTTACCTACAATGTTTTTGTTAAAATACCAAAATATTGATTTTTTATATAGAATATGAGTGACAAACGAGTACACAGTCCACCTGATGGTAAATGGATGATGTGGACTATAGATATCAAATAGGCGGTGTTATCTCTCCTCTTCTGTTTTCCATTTTTATAAATCTCATTACACTAAATCTCAAGAGCTCTTACCATTTGTATGCTGATGATCTGCAGTCATATGCACCAGTGGAACCTTCAAATATCCTAAGTGCTATTTCACTGTTAAATGATGATTTGAAATATATCTCAGAATGGTCTACTGTGCCATACACATAAACGTGGACCCGTCTAAATGCAAAACGATAATCTTAGGTAGCTCAAGATTATTATCTAAGCTAGATATTCCCACCCTACCATCAATTATGTTTAACAATAATGTCATACCATTCTCTACTAATGTAAAGCCTTGGTCTGTACATCGATGGTTGCTTAACATGGAACAAACATATACAGGAGATGAGTCGCAAAACTACTGGAACTTTGCGATCTCTATATCGATTTAAAAACTTTATTCCCACCAATACCGAGATTTTACTTGTCCAATCAATTATTGAACCTATTATTGATTATGTCGATGTGTGTTGCTCAGACCTGTCTCAACTTTATCTTAATACATTGGATCGTTTGCTTAACAACTGCATCAGATACATTTATGATCTTCGTAAATACGACCATGTATCTTGCTTTCGTACACAGCTAAACTGGCTGCCTATCATCAGATATGTTAGAATACTCTGCACCCTTTTCTCAATTTTGAACGATCCATGTGCTCCCGAGTATCTGAAATCTAAATTTCAATACCTGGGAGATTCTCATAATTTTTCTCTCCGTTCCTCGGCCAATCTTAAGTTGCTCACTCCTTTACACCGTACTGGTTATTTATCTCACTCTTTCGCCCTCATGGCCATCAGACTCTGGAACGACATCCCTCTTGACGTTAAAAAAACCCCCAACAAATTCGTCTTTAACAATCAAGTCCGTAAGTATATGATTAAATCGTTGCAAGTTTGAATTAACTCAGCTCTTTTTTTTTGTATATATTTCATATTTGTTCTGACATAGATAATATTTACTTTTTTTTTTTTATATATATATATATATATATGCAACACGTAACATAATTAACGCACTTTGAGAAAGTAGTTTGTTCAGAATCGTTTACTGAATCGATTCCTATCATTTTTATTATAGGTAATTTTTTATCCCAAAAATAATTAAAACTACGTAAATTACAGTCACACTAAATCTGTACAGTCACAAGAAACTAAAATGGACCGTAACTTAAGGCAATAAGACTTTTAAGAGTGCAGTTTTATTTGTATTATTACTAACACTGTCATGCAATAAAAATAAAGAAAAATGAACTTTATTTCAAGCAAGTTAAAGTCTTTGTGTTCGTGGATTTGTACTGTGACCACAACAATCTTCCGGAATTAGTATAACTAATTTGATAAATAATCAGTGCATAAAAATGTTTAACTAAAAATTCAGTGTATGTATTATGATTATAACATAATATACTAATTGGGGTGTCTGAGGGTGTGCGTTAATTACGTTACATATTGTATATATATATATATATATATATATATATATATATGTATATTATCCTCCCTATTTGATTATTGCTGCACCGCTTCCATAATGTCTATCTATGTATAGCCTAATGGTTGACTGGGAGAGAATGCCCTATGGCATTAAGTCCGCCATATGTACTTTTTTGTGCATGAAAGCATAAATAAATAAATAAATATCTCCATTTAACTTTGGTTAAGAATAAAAATGCAGATGCATCACAGCTGAGGACTAACATGGAATACCAGCGTCAAATAGTAGCTTAATGCTGCTGTGTTTCGTATGGTGAGTGTAGAGAACCAGACACCCTTTTTATTGGAAACGAGGTATTCCACCTAAGTCCTCACGGGTGACAACACATCTGCATTTTGATTCGCATTCGAGGATAAATGTAGATGTCTACGAGCCACAGCAACCACTTACCATCAGGTGGACTGTGTGCTCGTTTGTCACCTTATCCTATTAAAAAAATGGAATGCCTCGTTTTCAGTAAAGAGGGTCTCCAGTTTTCTGCAAAGCGGCCTCGATTTTTCTGTGAGAGCGTGCTCCTACTCCGGGCGAGCCGACCCATTGCATCGTGGCTCTACCACGTATAATAAAATTAAAACGTAAATTTTATATAATAATTATTTGTGCCGAATTGAATACAAGTTATCCGCGAAATATAGAATTTATGGCGAACGACTGATTCTTAAATTTTAACTTTTTCTAACATATTAACAAATATTGTAATAATATTAATGACAGGGCCAACATACTGGGGTGAACGGTACCAGGAGTGCAGAGGTAAACATCAAAGCCCTATAGACATAAACCTACTACGGGTCAAGCAAGTAGCTTTGCCTGAACTCTCATTCGTGGGTTTTGATGATTCTATCGACGATGTGCACGTTACTAACAATGGACACACAGGTAAGTATTATTGACTGAGTAAATTTAGATTTATGTAATTTTATTATAGAATACAACTGCTTACTTATTTTATGACTGCGAGGCTGTATGTTTGGAACCTCTGCCTAATACATTGCGGTTCCCGAATTATGTAAACTCGAAATAATTGTGCAAGAACCAATATTATTCGTGATTTGTCTTTACGTCTTATGCCACCACAACATTTTATCTAGCGTTACAGTTCTATAATTTTCTTAATATATTAGGTACACAAACAGTCTGCAACATTAAAAATATATATGACAAAAATAAGGTTTGATTATTAACATGCTTCGTCCTCTGTTTCAGCCCGTATATATAAGTCAATGGTATAAGTCCATTGCTTGATATGAGCTTTTCTCTGTGTAAATTCGTATTTTCCGCTTACATGTATGCAGTTAAAATGTTTGTTTGTCGGTCTGGTTTGGTCTATTGACACAAAATTAATACAGGATGTGTATTGTAACCCTCATCAGAGATGATAAACAGATAATAAACATCCAAACCGAAAAACCCCTTTATTTGTGACACAAAACATATATGATATTATCTCAGTCCGGGGTTCAAAACCAGGCCACATTACTCGGTAATCAGAGACGCTGAATAAATCATTCAGCAATCTCGATATATTACGTAGCTTCTGACATGTACAAAATACAAAGATAAACACTCATGCCAGTCAGCCAGAGGGATAGGCAGAGACTAGCGACTTCCATTTGACACGATCCTGACACCTCTCTCGCCTCATTTACATCCATATAACTATGCATACATGCTTGTCTGTTAAGGGTGCTATTAATCTGGCCCGTTTTCAATATATCACCAATTTGGTCGATAAACTTTCGTCTAGAGCGTTCCTGGTGGACTTTGTCATTCACTTGTAGCTTATTTCACGTTAGCTTAGCTTTTTTGTAATGTGGTTTTATATAACGTAAACATAGCCTTATATCAGGTAGCCAATTTCCTAAAATTCTTAAAATAAGAGGCATTCCATATAACAAGATGATAATTTTTCAGTTCTGATCGAGGTAGATAACGAACCGCACCCACGTGTCAGCGGTGGACCCCTCGATGGAGACTATATCTTCAGTCAAATGCACTTCCATTGGGGCGATAATGACACTTTTGGGTCCGAAGACAAGATCAATCATAGGAGGTACGAACTATTTGTAAATTATTTCATTGATTTAATATAAATAATAATAACAAACGGCCAAGAAAACAAATAGCTTAATAGATTCTGCCACCCCAAAATACAATTTATAAGCAGCCATTATAATAACGAAGTTATTTACACAGAAGTGTTTCTGTCATTGTTAAGCCTCTGCAAAAATAGCAAATGTAAAGGTTTTAAAAAACCGTATTTTAATTTTGTATGCAGATGTTCATCCATCTTGTTACTTATAAGTATTCTATTTGCCGAACATTGCTCTTACGAAAAGGTAAGTCGGAGTGAATGACAAACTAAACATTGCAGTAGAAAATGTCGATGCTCCTACTCAAAGTTTAAGTTTGTAATTGCACAAAAATATAATTACCAAATAGCTATTTTTGTTTTTTTTCTTTTACGTGTGCTGTGAGACCTTGCTTCTTGCCAAATTTCTTGATACCAGATCAACGGGAAGTCATCTATATATTTTAATGCGTATGCGAATTTTAAAATATGTGGCAGAAATAGGCGTAATTTTGATTACGTTATCTTAAATGTAATTTTTCACCTTTAGCTCACCACTGTTAATCTTACTAAGATTGATATTGATTTTAACTTGATACTTCTAGACCACCTTCTAGAGAAAAAAGTCTTGACAGACGGACGAGACTTAGCGATCCTATAAGGATTCCATTTTTTTTTTTTGAGGTGTGAAACCCTAAAACTCTATATAAACGGTATTGGATTTTGTGTGCGATTTCTTTGAGATATTGTGAATGTTAATACTATTTTATCATTTTCAATTGCTTAAAGTTTTCTTTGAATTAAAATACAAACACGAAAGAGAAAAAAAGAAAGGGAAAAATGTGAATCTTTTCGATTATTGTTGTAATTCTTGTACATTTCTGTCACTTGCGCCGATTCATTTTGTACACAACATACGACGGTTTTCGACAATAAGGATTTTGAGTGTAGACACCTATAACGTGGTTGTGTGTGTGCGTTACGTCACCTAAATATCCTAATAATTAGGATATTTAGATGATGACATTAAATGTCGTCAACATCCGTTACAAGCGGTAGGATGTATCGTTGGTTATTATTGCATTGGACATGTAATATTATCACTTAAACAAATGGCTTTTAATTTTAATTTACTAGTTAAGCATGCGATTTTGTTTACGTCGAAAAAGTAAATTACGAAATTAAAACTTTTTGAAATTAGTCAAGTTTCCCAAATTTGTCTTAACTTTTCTAAATATGGAAAAGACGAAGATCATCATAGTTGTTGAGAACGCTTTTACGTTCGTGTTCGTTATTACGTTAAACTTAAAGTTATCGACGAATATGTACAATAAGTATCTACAGTTTGTCCGATTAGGTAAAGTTAACTAAGCAGCGTTCGGGATATTCATACACTACTTCCTTAAAAATAAAATGTTCAAGTGTGGTTCGCTAAGAAAACTCAGTCGCCCATCATAGCTACCGACAAGTGCAAAGTGGAACGACCGGAAAGGCTTGATAAGAAAAGTTCAGATAGACAATTATAATTGAGTACTCAGGCCAGGCGCACTCCGCAGTTTAGGTATACAGCTACAAGTACGTGGCGGGCTCGTCTTAACAGGCCAATGCGGTGAGCTGCTCACAGAGTACTTTTTATATAACTATATAACTGGTTACCCATTCGTCAGCGCCGTAGTCTACGTGCACTCACTACTCTTTACTCTGTCTTGATGTCTCCTAATCCTCCATCCTATTTAACTCCTCATTTTCAATATCTTAGCTCCAACCATGATAGAGTTCTCCGTTCTAGTAATAACCTTTTGCTTCAGTGCCCCCCCTTTTAGTATAACTTTGTACAATCATCGTTCTTTGTTCAATCTGTTCTTCTTTGGAACGATCTTCCTTCCGAAATCAGGAGTGCTGAAAACCGGATTTCGTTCAAGTCTAAAGTGCGAGAACTGCTCGTCAATAATAAGGCAGAATCAACTTAGCGTTCGTAGTTAACGTGTTTAATATTATATATATATATATATATATATATATATATATATATATATATTAGACATGTAACGAGTAGTGATTCGCCGAGTACTCGGCCACCGAGTACTCGGCCTAGATTGGGCCGAGTACTCGGCCGAATACTCGGCCGAATGCTCGGCTTTAAAAAACGCGGTAGCGGGTGGCGCGCGGTTATTTCCCTTACACAGAGACAGAGTAACAGCGCGATATTGCAGCGCGACGAATCTGTGCACGGGGAATTCCCTTTGAGCGGGGAAAACCGTAACTTCATAATTTATCAACTCATTTGTCACTTTTGTACGTGTATTCACGGAGAAGAGGTTATGCTTGTGTGTTTAATTAATTATTTTATGTAGACAACGCGTAATTTATAATATAACAAAATGTCAAGTAGTGCGAAAAGGTCGGGTGTTTGGAAATACTTTGTGGAGGTTGATAAAAACAAATCTAAGTGTAATTTGTGTGGAGTTCAACTATCACGTGGAGGTATGGGAAAAACTGCGACTACTTCGTCCATGAAAAGACATTTGCAGACTAAACATAAGTCGGAGTATGAAGAGGTTTTTGGTACTACAAGTATTGCTTCAAGTAGCAAAGAATTTGTCTCTCAGTCCAGTCAATCACAAGTGAGTGGTTTTTTGAAGCAGCCGTCTTTAGAAGATATGTTAGAAAAGAAAAAGTTGTGGGATATTAATGATTCTAGAGCAAAGAGGTGCCATTATTTAATCGGTGAAATGATCGCAGTGGATAACGAGCCATTTTCTATCGTGGAAAGTCATGTAGGGTTTCGCCGGTTTGTCAATAATATTTTACCGCAGTACGAGATACCAAGCCGAATATATTTTAGCGAAAATGTAATTCCAGATATATATAACAAAGTGGTGAACAATATCAAGTCAAGATTGGCACCGGTCAACCACATCTCTTTTACTACAGACATGTGGACATGTCAAACTAACAAAACTTGTTTCCTCAGTTGTACTGCCCATTGGTTAGAAGAAAGTTATATGCTTGGTCATGCAGTGCTAGATATAAAGGTTTTCCCAGAGAGTCATACGGCAGAAAACATAAAGAAAAGCTTACTCGATTCGGTTTCCGATTGGAACATACCAGCTACGAAAGTACGTGCCGTTGTACATGACAATGCAGCAAATATAACAAAAGGTGTGAAAGACGCAAACTTCCCTTCTTTTCGTTGTTTTATTCACACTCTGCAATTAGTAATTAATGACGCTATAGACGCTAATACTTCTGTTAAAGAAACAATTTCTGCTGCTCGACGAATCGTGACACATTTCAATCACAGTGGTTATAACAAACTTCACGAGATTCAAGAGGAACTTGGCCTTCCAAAAAAGAAACTACATCAAGATGTTATTACCAGATGGAACTCAACTTATTATTTACTGGAACGTATTATTGAACAGAGACGAGCTATTTCTGTCTACTTCGCAGAATCTCGAAATTTGAATTTTGAAAACTTGTCAAGCGATCAATGGGAAATAGTGTTGCAGTTAATCATATTATTGAAACCTTTTGAAGAAGTGACGAAAATAACTAGTAGCACGTATTCTCCTATTTCCGATGTAATTCCGCATGCTGTCACATTGATGAGATATTTACGAAAAGAAGAACTGTCGGAGAAAACGTATCAAGTTGATGATTTTAGAAATGCCCTCGTAAGCAATATGAACAAAGTCACGCGTTTCAATCTTGAATATTTGTTTGAAAACAGAACTTATCTCCTTTCGACCTTTTTAGACCCACGCTACAAAATCAACTTTTATAATGCTTATCAAGCAGATCAAGCTCGCAAGGCTGTCCTAAGAGAAGCTCTAAAAATATCGCTAGACACAGAAGATGATGAACTTGTCATTGATGCAGAGCCAGCAGAAAAAAAAGCTAGAATGATAGATAGAGATCATACTGCTTCTGAAGCTCATAATCTATTCTGGGAATGTTTTGAAGAAGCCGCTGACGCATCAACTAGTTACCAGCCTAATGATCCTAAGAATTCCGCTGCAGCAGAGTTAGATCATTACTTAAGCGTACCAAGGGCCGCAAGAGATGCAAATCCATATAAATGGTGGGTTTCTAATAAAGTTCATTACCCCATCTTGGGAAATATTGCGGCTCAATACTTATCAACTCCAGCCAGTTCAGTTTACAGTGAACGGCTTTTTTCAGAGGCGGGCTTAATATATGAAGCAAAAAGGAGCAAACTAGACCCAAATAGGGCCGAAAAGCTAGTGTTTTTGCATCACAATCTTCCTCTCTTAAATTTTAAATATTAGTAAGATCATAATTTCTATTATAGATTCTTATTTACGTTTTCAATATTTCTGCTGTTTGTCATGTTCCTGATGTTTTAATGTGTCTAATATAATAATAATGATAATAACTGGCTTTTTGTCTTTATTTTTCCCTGCAATATAATTAAGGCCGAGTACTCGGTAATCGGCCCTTAATATTCGGTGCTCGGCCGAACCCTAAAAAACGGCCGAATCCGCCGAGTACCGAATCCAAACCGAGTACTCGTTACATGTCTAATATATATATATGTGAATATTAATTATTAATTGCTGTACATACTTCTTATTACACCTACCTCTTTTAACTCTGCACTACTCTAAGGTAGACTGGTAATGCCTTAGGCACCTATATACATCTAATGTGTATATTATGAAGTTAAATAAATAAACAACTGAAAGGAGCTGCCCCCACAGAACACTATATTACTCCAGTTTAAAAACAAGCTCCTTAAATTGTCCTAATAATAATACCCTTACTGACAGCAGGGTCGCACGCGTTCGAAAAAGAAAACATTGTTATCCTAGTAATCGTAACATGTCAATCAATTTTTTTTTCTTCACTGAACACACAATTAATGACTTACTATAAGTAACGACCATTATTAATTTATTTCAAATAAAACTTCGCAATTTACCAAGGGATTTTAAATAATTTGAATGTTATAACAGTTTTTATTAAATTGAAAATAAAATTTTTATAACATCTTAATTACTTAATGTAACAAAAATTAAAAAAAAATAAAAATTTAAAGAGTTCGTAAAAGTTAAGCAATAAGGAAATGAACATAAAATGTAAAATAAAGTGAACGACATGAATTTATTTTGTCTAAAAACGTGCAAGTACATATTTAATGAAATTTATGCAAAAATAATGTGGGCACAAAATGATAACCTAATGGTGAAGATGAAAGACTAATATACTATCATCAATAGCCTTGAGGCATTTGCAATCAACCTACGATATAAAATTATGGTTTCTTTACGTCGCCACCACCCCAAAGTAACACCGTCAGTAAACAGAATAAAATGTTTAAACATTATTCTAATATGGTAAATGTGCATTTAATTTCAGCTTTCCGATGGAGCTTCATATGGTTTTCTTCAAAGAGGAATATAAGACTGCTAAGGAAGCCGTCAAACATTCCGATGGTCTCACAGTACTCGCCTTCTTTTATGAGGTATCTATTATTTTCCAGTACAATAACGCTTCGCAAACAATTGTCTCACGAACAAATTGTCTTCATTCTATATATTTGATTTCATTTGTAATATTGAAAAGATATGCTAATTTGTTTCTGACGTATTCCAATTTCAAATATGTAAAATCAAAAGTATATTATTGAAAATGAAACTGAATACTTACAAAACCTGTCAGTTTGCAAATACTTATAATATTTGTTGAAAATATTTTTTTTTTATAAAATGGAACTAACAAACGAACTAACAGTCCGTAAGGTAAGTGGCTACCGCAGCACGTAGACCTACAACCAAAGATGTTAAAAATTAACAGAGATGCGGGTAATAAAATAATATGATGCGTCTTACCTAGCTTGAAGAGCCTTCCCGCCTTCCTACAAATCGCTCTTCAAACTAGTAAATGGATATCCGCAAAGCAACACCGAATTCTATAGTGACCTGCTATCAACTTCGGCTAAAGAATACTACAGATCAGTTGTCAGTGTCGCCTCTGAGGATTAAGATGGAACGCCATAAAGTCTGTAATTATACCAGTTCTAAAACTTTCAGACCGGAACATAGCAGTGCAATGCTATTTGGCGACAGAAATGGAAGAATAGTTATGGTACAGGTAGGCAGAAATGTAGTTCTACCACCCAGTAAATATAATAAGAAATATAGATTATACTGTTATAAATGCCTCAAGTGTCTTAAATGGGTCTGGCAGACAGTGTCAAAAGCTTTGGTAATGTCTAAAAACATGAATACACTTCTGAGTTTTGATATTTTAGAATTTCATTATGTCTGCGATGCTTGCTGTTACTGAACATGACAAAAATTAGGTGTATCTGTTTCAATAACAATATGACTCAATTTTAACATAGGAATATGTTACAATTATAAAACTTAATTTTTCATGCACATACTTACTTCTTCTACTTATACGTCAAGGGCCTATACTAACTCAGCTCAAATTCTAATTTCGCCCCCACTTCCCCGTGCGTCGTAGGCTATCTACCTAAATGTTTGTAATCTTTAATACTGTAAGTAGCCCCTTTAGGGGTATATAATATGTTCTTATGTAGTAAGTAGATAGGTCAGTAGACACTTATTTCATTAGGTTTATCATATTTTTGCCTGTTTCTTTACGCCAAGCGAGTCGTTTCTTATTTTTTGTTACGGTTATTTCCCATTTTATGTCGCTGTTGCGTAATGTGTATTAATGTGTATTCTGAGCGCAAGCGACACAACTTTCCCGTTCGAAAGCCGAAGCGAGACTGAGCGTGAGCGTGAGCGCGGATAACGGGAGTGGTAAGGATAATGCTTCACCGCCGCCGATAGTTTAGGTAATTCCTTTTTACGGTGAAAATAATGGTAATAAAAACCTGCTTTATAGTTAGTTCAGTTAGTATGCAAAGTTTTATGATCTAATTTGAAGTGTTTTGTGAATGCCAGCGGTTTATTGTTCGGTTTGTAGGTAATTGTGAATTTTTTTTTGTTTATCGAGAAAATTTTACGGAATCGTGTTATCGTCTAACATAGTACTTAACATTAATCATCAACTTTACCATATATTTATTTCTAAATTAATGCTGCAATATTTTCGGCATAACGTAGGATCACGCTAAGCCATTTGAGGTAGGCTCTTAATATTAAAACATGAATAAATTTTTAATTTGTAAATTCTTTCGATTTTATACATCGAATGAAGTTTTTTGACAGGTCTTTACAATAATTGTAAGTATAAAAACGACTTTAAGGAGTTAAGCTTACTTTTTCGAAGCAGCCTGCAATTTATAATAATATTATGTTTTATCTCGCTTTTTCACTCGCTAGTTGGAACCTACCTAGTCTCGATTCCACACTTACTCAGATAATGATAATATCTGAGGGCGGCTGTACACTCTTGACGAGGGTCCACGAGGCAAGTCGAGGACGAGAGTGTACAAGATACTTTCACTGAGCCTTGCCTTCCCTCGCCTCATCTCGCGTGCTCTCACACTCGCGTCGGTTCTTGGTGCGCGAGTCAAAGGGCCTCCCCTCGCGAGTGGACGCGAGTGCGTCACTGTACACTCGTGCTTCGATCAGTCTACCGCAATATATTGTCGCATGCAGTATTATTGGTTATCCTACTACCACAAAATTATCATGTGGAAGCAAGAGAGCGAAAATAATTTTCTTGAAATTTATCAAAGTAAACCTATTTTGTGGGAGCTCACGCATCGTTATCACAAAGACAAAATTCCATCTGTCTGAAATCATGCGTCCATCTCCTCGTCGTCCCTCACCGTAACTGAATAAACGAGAATGTGCAAGGTCACACTCGTGAAAGCGCTTTCTCGTGCGAGAGGCTCGCGAGAGGCATGGCGAGTGCTCTCGTCGAGAGTGTACAGCCGCCATGAGATATATACGTAGTAGAGCCACGCTGCAGTTACATTATGGCTGTAGCACGTACGGGTCGACTCGACTGTGGAAGGGCCACGCTCTCACAGAATACCTACGCAAATTAGCGCGTAGGTTGAGTGGAGAAAATCGTAAATCCCTTTTACTAGAAACCAGACATTTCATATTAGTCTTCGATATAGATGTCTGTGAGCCACAAGATTCACTCACCATCAGATGAACTGTTTGCTGGTTTGACGCCCTTATTCTATAAAAATAGTGTCAGTGACACAGGCACATAAAAGTCAACTATTTATTTGTATTAATTTTAAAAACAACTGTGCCTCAAATCCAATATTTAGTGATTTTAGTTGTATACACAATGAACGCGATTGTTATACCAGCAGGGTGACACTAGGTTTACTGAAATATACATTTTTATATACAAATATAAATATACAATTTTGTTCGTTCAATCAAATGATCCGCGGAAATATTGCAATACTTGTGTCATATAAGGTTTTCCTCGATTATTGTAATTACCGGTACCTACCTACTTATATTGTGTAAAGTTTTTATAACCCAGCAATTACGCGAACGTTCCGTTTTCCATACTTTTTTGTTAGTCGGTACGGGGAAGACTTATTGTAGCAATTGTAGCGTCATTTCGTCTTCTGAAACTACATCCAATGAGCCCAATAATTAAAAAAGTAATATAGCGAACTTCACTTTGTGTTGAAGTTTTTTATTTAGCTTAAATTACCCGTTTTATTTTAATTCAGTATATCAGGGAATACAAAACGATTCCTTTACAAATATTTCTCATGTTAATGCCCCCAGTTGCTGTAATTATCTACTGTTATTTTTTCGTTTGGCGCGCTGTATTTATATAAAAGTATCTTATATGTAAAAATTGTATAACAAGTAAAGTATAAGTAAGTATTAGAGACGTCGCAGCTCACGTTTATGGCACGCGATTCAAATTTAATACTGTTTCAGGCCATATTTAATGCTCCTACCGCCATCTAGTGTCGGGTAGCAGAGCGAGGAGAGATGATGATGAAATGATTTCTAGTTAAAATGTCATGCTAGAATTTCCATCTCAGCGCCATCTAGTATCGAGTAGCAGAACTAGGAGAGAACTTTCTACACTTAGTCGGTTGGGACCGGTATGTGCTCGAACATTCGGGATGTTTCATGTTTCAGTGGAAAAAGTCCTATATAAAGGCACGTTAAGGACCGCGACCGAGGCAGTATCATAGATGATGCCTAGAGTGAAACAAAGTGAACTAAAGTGTTAAGTGTGATTAATTATTAGTGTGTTTTAAGTTTTAATTGGTGTTCGGTAATTAAAGTGTCAATTTTGGTAACTCAATCGGCAGTTTTTACTGTCACGAACCCTAAGCTCGTAACAATACTAACTTGAGGCATCACTCAAATAATTGTAAATCGCAACTTCAAGTGCTAAATTATCACATGTTTGCTAAAGGGAAACATTGTGAGGAAACCGGCATGTTTCGATATATATTCATTAATAAAATTCTAAAGTAATACGAAGTCTGCCAACACGCATTGCGACAGAAAGATGCTTTGCCGCCCTATAAAAATAAAAATTACCAGTTTGAGGAAGACAGAGACAAAAACACAAAGTCTTATGCTATAACTAATATATTAAGAAAAAAAATATAGCAAACAAGCTTTGTCAATAATTGTCTTCGAAAAATCGACTTAAAAAAAAACTAACATCACTATGCAATACCAAAATCAACTAAAATATTTACTATAATGTCAACTGTCAAAATGGCTTTGATAAGGCAGCGGCCTTTTGACCTTTTATTATTGGATTTACTGATGAAGATGTATCACATCATAGAGGCATCTATGCAAACATGGTTGCAGTTTTTGAGATATAAGAAAGAGACCGTATTAACCGGATGACCATATTACCCTCGCGTACTATAGAACAAGTTAAGATTGATATAGTCGAGTTTAAATTACAAACACTGATTTAAGTATATAAGTCTCTTACTAATCCCTTATTTAACGATTAGATTGTCTATGTTTTATAGCCTAATTAAAATGTTATGAAAGCGAAGAGATTCAGAATTGTTGCACCGAAAAGACGTCAGTTTTCTTTACATTATATAAAAAAGTAATGTTTCTTTTTTTATCCAAACGCGGACTATAGGATCCTATACTAATCATCTGATGTTAGTTGTTTTTAGTCGCCCGCAAGGTTTTCTGATAAAGAAATTGAATATTTGTTTGTTTGTTTTCGATGCATTCCATCTTATACCGTTTATCCGACTACGAGGACTGCAACTAGGCTTACTAAACTTAGGTGCAATTATTGGAATTTTTTGGAAAATTGGAATCACAATGCTGGACTTGGCTAAAACCGGGATGAAGCTGTAATAGTATAGAATAACGCAAAAGTTTATCAATAATACGAGTTAACGTTCATATTTGAAACTTCTAACGTCAGTTAATACTAAATCTATGTTTTAAACGGATTTAAATAAGGAACCTCCTTATCAAAGCGTATGTTTTTGGCATAGCGCATACTGGCCACCGGCGAACAAAAGGAGAGTAGCCGTAGCGGTTTTTTCAGATACAGACTGTCTGCCATTCTTTGCGGGGAGAAACCATAAAACAAAAAATGCTTAAGTACACTTTTTGTTTTATCACTAAATATACCTATATCTGTCCGAAAGGTCGTAAAAAATAAAACGGGATAATAGGCGTCCCGCACACATCTCTCGCGGGACACATCCGCTAAGGCTCTAAAACGGGTTATGATCTTTTGATTTTTACTAATAATATAGGTGTAACTGTGTGGTTTAAGGGTAAACCGTGTAGTGGTGGGAGGAGACTATCATATTATAACCTACGTACCTATTTTTGTAATTTTTGTTTGATTCGAGTGTGTCCCTACATGAAAATTGTAATGACCTATAAACTTTTTTAATTTCAGCTGGACCGACACCAACATCCAGCTTACGATGACATAACAGCAGCATTGGCAAACGTTACGGAGCCCCACACAACTGTAGTAATGAGCCACCCCTTCTCGATCCTCAACATCTTACCATACGACTTAAATAGATATTTCACGTACAGAGGATCACTAACAACGCCTCCATGTTCTGAAGTCGTGATATGGTTAGACTTCGAACAGCCTGTGAGGCTGACCCATGATCAGGTATGTTATTAGAAATACCTACACTTCTGAATAATATAGAAATACCTGTCATTATAATGCGGTAATTTCTATAATGCCACCAACTTTACTGTTCAGTTGACAGAGACGCTAGTGGAGAGTTTACTACTGCCACTTAAGAAATTTACCGAGGAAATAGGTGGCTACGTATACACTTTTCACAGTGAAATCAAACAAAGCACTCTCCTTACATCACTAAACAAATAATAGCTTATAGTGGAATGTCATTATAAAATGGTAGCTTAAGTTTCAGTTTTGTCCATCTGAGCAGATAAGCTGGTGGCAGTGTAAGTCGGAATATGGTTAAGGTGGCAACGCTATTAGGTTGAATTGAAAGAAAGTATGGGATATTTACCGTGGATTAGCACCTTTATACACACTTTTAATATTACTTTGAAACGTGACCTGTATGTATTATGTATGTATAATGTATATACAAATATAATGGTTTTTTTTAATTCAGTTAACACTTACTTCCAGAAGTCTCAGTAATCTGGAATATTGCAGACTGAATAAGAACCTAAAGAAAAGTCTATAACTTAGTATTCCTGTTAGGATCAACACAGCTCTTTATCAATGCGTGTTCTTTAAATTTCTTAAGCTCCCAATATTATGAATATTAAGTAATTCAGTCCACAAAGATACGTTCTACACAAAAGTGTGCTCATAAGCGGGTGAAAAATTAATTATAAAAGTCCAATTCGTTCATATACTCAAATATCTATATCATACAGGTCAAACTAAAACTTAAAAGTTAAAAATGTTTCAAGTAAATACAAAAATATGAAGATCACAAGTAAACGAAAGTTCAAAAAGTTTTGGTGGTAGGGGTTCTCTTCTGGCTACAACCCTCTTACCTATTCATGCCCACTGTTCACTCACGGTTGTATTCTGGTTTGAAAATTATTGAGAGGGCTTGTTTTATTGAGATTTCGACGCATATAAGGCATGCTTTGTTGGCTAGTCGTAGACTACGATTTACAAACGCCCAAAGAAGCGGGTAACCGTAATGATTTAAGTACCATAGACCACATACATAACCTTCGCCAAATTGTATAGAAGACCGCATAGTACACTCTGCCACTTATGTTTGGTCGGTGCAATATACCTTCGGCGCTGCCAAATTTATTGTCGGTATAACGATCGGTAGTTGTAGAAAACACTCCGTTCGAAGTTGTTGACGAGTATGTTTAACTAATACTAATTGTCCAACGAAGTCAATCGACATTCGACATAATATCCTACTCGGCTGGGCAGCGTGGCTTCAAATAGATGGAGTGACAACCTGGTAAGACGTGCAGAAATCATTGGATGTAGGTGACTCACGATTGTATTCTCTGGCACTCCTTGGGGGAGGCCTATTTTCAACAATGATGTTGACGCTAATGATAAATATCTCATACAATATAGGTACTTAAAACAGCCTGTACAGCTCTATAACGAGAACACCTTTGTCGCAGCTCACAGGTACTTTTTTTAAAACAGTTTTATACATTATATTAATCTGTTCCTGTCCCATGAATCAAATATGAACATTTCGATTGTTTAACTATTGTGTCTATATGGCGGACAAGGAAACTATTAATATTGTAGACTGAATGTAATTAGTAATCCATTTAAAACAAATAAGTTAGTTTATGGGGTAATACGAGAATGTTCTCCATCCGACAGATTGCGTCTACAGCTACAGCTTCTGTTTATATCCCTGCATAGAAGATCAAAGAGTAATAAAATCATTGTGTTGTAATGTGTGCTAACATAAAAAGTGCTTAATCCGTGAATAATGTGCTTATGCGGTAAAATAGATATATAAGAATGCAATGTCAGAGATATAAGAGATATAACCTCTAAAATATACTCGAATCAAAATGTGAAATGGCCTATTTTATATTTTTTAAAAAATAACTCATGTTTTATAAACCGATTCCACCGTTGGCAAAATTAGGTCAAAAATGTTGCCTTATATAGTTAAAATAAAAAAAGTTATAATTTCAAATTACAGATAGAAGCATTCAGAGAGCTACGTTCTGCGACAGGCAAAATCCGACACAATTTTAGACCAATACAACCCATCGGCGACAGAGTGGTGTTCTACAACGTAGACAATAAATATTTCTATTACAATGACGTGGACAATCCGGATGAAGACAGTACACAGAGAAGGAAAAGGGGACATAACCGTAGTCATGTTACATTAGCAACTGCGTATTCTGTAATTTCTTTGCCGTTCATCTCTATTTTTACTTCGAGCATAAAAAGATGTCTCGATTAACTAATAAATTTTTACCGGCTGAAAACAATGCACTAATAAATAAATATGATACACTAGAAAAAATATAACTTTATGTAGGTAATTTTCGTGTACGATAAATTTTATAATTACCTAAGAACTTTAAAACGTAGGCTTGTGTTAAACTTATAATAGGAAATTTAGATATAAATAATTGTCGATTTATTTATCGTGATTTATCTAATATTCAAAAAACCTAATAATCTGTGATATTAATATACATCTAATGATATTACCTTGATGCCAATAACATATAGGCGTAGACAGAGTAGGTTTCTCTGTCTACGCATATAGGCATTAAAACAAATGTGTGAGTTTTAGAGGAAGTGTGAAAATTAACGAAAGAAACAAATATAAAATACGTACTGTATGCTTTCGTGGGCACACCAGCTTAAGAGCGCATAAAACATAATGTTATCATGCTTAATTCTCTATACTTTCTTTCCATTGTCATTAAGTGAAAGAGAAATGGAGTAATTTTATGCATTTCTTAAACAATTTTTGTTAGTAAGAAGTTCTGTTCCGAAATGTTTAAAATATTTAGCTTAATACAAAATTGTCTAAATAATTCTGCGACATTTTAATATAAGTAGTTTTTGCATGTATATTTGTAACGCTCTCTTCTTAATTTTTCGTATTTTAAAGTCAAAAGTTCAGTCTGGTAAGACATGCAGGAAGTCGATGGATGCAGGTGGCTCAGGATCGTGCTTTGTGGCATTACTTGGGGGAGGCCTATGTTCAGCAGTGGACTTGTGAAGGGCTGTAATTATGATGATGATGGGAACCCTCGTTTAGCTGTCGTGTTAAGTTGCAAATGAGGCATTATATTATTGTTTATGAGTGTATAAAATAAGAAATATTAAATGTTGTGTATAAGGTGAAGCGTTAAAGAATTTCAATCTTGAAAATGGAAAATATGTTATAAAGTAATTTAAGGTATTTAAGAGGCTACGTAACTCACTCTACATGGGGAGAGGGGTATCTCTATGCAATTACGTGGTTGGAGGGTCGGTGCGAACCGGTGTCACGTAACGCAGATACGTACTTTTTTCATATTTTTATTGAAAATATCGCATTGGCTAATGACGCGTGCCATTCGGCACTTGTCGCATACTATCAGCCAGGACGTCGAGCGCTCTAGTACCCCTTCCGCTTTCACAGTTTTTTGTTCCTCCAACTTCCTGCTACGAGTCATCACAATAACAAAAACAATTAAAGTCCGTTAGACATTGAAACTCGTCTTGTCCGTTTTGAGATCGATGATTTTTATTAGTTATTTAAAATAAATTAAAATAACTACGTAGTACATATTGTACTTTCTGAGATCAGAACTTTGATGGACAAGCTGATTAGATTGATGAAGATGTCGATGTCGATATCCCTTGTGATACAATACAATCCAATTCTTCGATTATTGTGATAGACTCAATCGATAATGGGTTGAGTCCCACACAGATAGTGATGCGGATGTTTAATTATTTTTAATTATTATTTATTATTACGCGGTTTATAGATGGCCCCTAATGAACGATAATAAAAAATATTTGGCGTACCTATGTATACAACGACATTACACAATATTTTTGTGTATCTTTCAAAATTATGTTTTATTTAGCTGTAGTAATGTATATTTATATGTATATGTTGTATAGGTATAGATATAGAATAGGTAGATAAATCCCAAAGGCATCAAATCAGCTGCGCTTTAGGAGCAATTAATATTTTAAGTAAATAAATACTAAATGATGAAATCCATCAGGTGGACTGCGTGCTCGTTTGTCACAAATTGCTATAAAAAATCTATATTATGAAAAAATGAGGATTTCTTTGAATACGCTATATTTTTTGGACGATTTTCATAAGTATTAGATTTAGTAGGTTTGAAAATAGCATTTGACAAACTAAATTTTACATTCTTACGTCGAAGCAATGAACATAATATGTATTTCATTCTAGCGGACTATCGAATACGCGCGCGGCTTATCTGCATCGCGTATAATGTAGGGGGTTGAATTTACAATACAATATGCAATATATTATGTATTTCATTATAAATAATGTTTAAATTGGAAATAACCGTAATAAAAACGAATTTTTAATTTCCATTTAAGTTGTTTTAATAATGCTACGGTAATATTAAACAACCCAAACATAAAACTGTAGATAATGCAGCGAATTACGATCCATAGAGATAATTTTTTTTGTGCTATTTTTATACTAAGTATTTAAATAACTCCAGCACAATATTTTGCTATTTTTATAAGAAATTGATGTTAAGGAACTTAAAAAATTACTTGCCTTAGTTGTAAAGGACTGATTTTTATACAAAAAGATTACAGATTATAAATATAACAAATGAGTACAGTCAACCTGATGGTAAATAAATGTTGTGGCCCAAAGACACTAAGATGGAATGGAATGCTTCGTTATCTCTATTCTGGTTCTCGTTAATCACTGTACGACACTCAGCAGCATTATGCCGCTATTTTGTTCGACCGTGGTCCTTCCACAGCAGAACTAACTCATTCCGACTGCAGCCATATACAGCTACAGCGTGACTTTATCACGTTGAGTGCTAATACAATTCACAAATAATAAGTTTTTTCAAAAGATAAATATTTATATTTCAAATATCACATTTAAGGAATCAATTCAATGTTGCATTTTTCATTTTTTTATATTTTTGGGCCGTGGTAGTTCAGGAGCCACACACTTTTATAGTACGCGAACAACCCAGGTTCGAATCGTATCAGCACCTATGAAATTGTTAATTGCAATTTGAAGTGCTACGAAAGGCGGCTGATGAGTCTTAATTTTCTATATAGTCTCCCTCATCGAAATACATTGTTCACATCTGACAGACCACTTTCAAACCGTCAAAAAATATTCCTTTTCCTTGCCTTCCAAATGCTTTCAACAGCCGCCTTCCCCACATTGTCGTTGACAAATCTACGACCTCGTAATTCCTTTTTCAAATTGGAAAAGACGGCGAAGGAAAACATCGTGAGGAAACCTGCATTAGAAAAAAAATATTTCGCTGCCATGTGAAATTCACCAAAGGGCATCGCGTCAGATGTTTCTTTGCACTAAAAGAGAGGAGGCCTGTACCCAGCAGTGAGACTGTGTTCAGCAGTGGGACGCATATAATAATAATAATAAAGACCTCACAGTTGGATACTACTACTATTACTATCTAGAATGGTGAATTACTGTTATAGTTATATGAGTTACTAAATAAAAATGAATTCAAATAACGCGCGTGCTTATGTTTCCCTCATTTTTTGTTGATAAAATTGTTTACTCGAATGCGAACATATTTCAAAATTAAATTTAACAATCGACACTGAAAACATCCATAAAAAGAAGGTGACACGAAAATATTTGGCAATACAACACTTGTAAATGTGTTTTTTCTTGTAGTAACAAAAAGTTATCTTGTTCGTTCGTTATTAACTTATAAGTATGTTCATAATGTTAATAAATGATAATGAGTATTATAATATCCAAAATCATTTTATTTCCATTTTCGTGACAACCCTAGCATACACGCTGGCCGCATGAATACCTACGCGGGCGGCGGCATCGCCAGATATAATGCCCCATTTACATTCAGCCCTGTTGGGCAGGGAAGTGAGCAGGGCAGTGAGCAGGGCAGTATGTAAACAGGCTACTCGCGCTGACACTGCCGCTGCCGCTGACACTGCCCGAAATGTCGGTTTTTCGTGCGGAAGTCAAAGGACGGGCAGCGCGAGCGGCAGTGTGTGTTCACATTCAGCTCCATCGCTCACTTCGCGACAAGCGCCTGGATGAACGGACGTGCGTGCCGTCCTGTTATTAAATAAATACGATCTACCAAAATGCCTTTCGAGTGGATTAATGAAAATACAATAAAGTTTTTAGAACTGCTGGAATCAGAAAAAACTATATGGGATTTCAACGATAAAAACCACAATTCATCATCTTCTACGAATACGAATTTTCTTTTTGAGTTAACATAGTACCTATGTACATAATTAATTATAAATTCGTCAAATTTATTATATTAATATAAAATTTAGTTTAAAGAATTAATGAACATTGACATTTTATTCCTAAAAACGATTAGTAACTCATATTGATTATTTATTAATTAAAATGTAAAATAAGTTAAAAGGTAATATTTGCATAATAGCCTGAGATTTTTAAATTATAATTTTATTGTAATTAAAATTACGAATTAGTTTATACTGAAGTGTAATTAATAAAATAATAATAGCTTAACTAATCTCATATAATATTTAATATTATTTATGTAACAATAATATAATAATTCAATTAATAATTTATGAACAATTTACTGTATAAGAATTCAAATAGAGTGGATCTGTATAAGTATTTAATTGTACATAATATTTGAATTCAAAAAGAATGTGTGTACCTAACTTTTAAGCAACATCGGGTTTGTGTAATTAGCTGTATTTCATATCATTTTTCCATGCCAATTATGGCAAAACATGTCAGTTCCACGTCATTGATCATCTTATGTACCATGTTTTTAAGCAAATAAATTTTCTATCTATCTATCTATCTTCCTTTGAACTTGATATCTTTTTAAATTATTAACATAATTTTGTATTGCAAGAAGACACAGCGCGGACGCTGTAATTATTTCGACGTCCGCCATAGTCGAAAGCCGAAAGCGATGTGAGTGGTAGGGCAGAGTGTGAATACACACTTCCCGCGATCCTGCTACGGCAGTATTTAGGGAAGTATTGCCGGCAGCGCGAGGAGCAGTGGCAGTGGCTGAATGTAAATGGGGCTTTAAAGGCGTTTATACAGCTGTATAAAACTGTGATATAAGCATACAGCTTTTAATTTACTCGTACATTTTATGGTAAGTATGCCGAGTGTACGAAAAAAGGCTATAATTTCAATACAACTTCAATTAATAAAGAAATCACATAACATTTTGTAAATTAAATATAATTAAATATGTACATATT